TGTACCAGATGATGTTAAACAGCTTTTCGAACTTAACTTCATATGAATGTGGGAGGAAACCCTCAGTAAATTATTGACAGTGTAAAACATAACATGTATATTATGATATTTATGTTTTAAAGAAAGCATAGCTTTAGTGAGGAATGCAGTTTGTCAAATGTCATTAGAAATATTTTGAAATGCATGGATTCATGAGCAAAACCTTTTTCACTTAGTTATAAAGACCATCCTAATTTTGTGGGAGCAACGTACCATGGAATGGCTTGTGATCCAAAGTTTTCTGCTGGAATCCTTCTGGTATGCATTTTGTTCTCATCTTTTCAGTAATAATATCAGGCTTAGAAAGTTCGTGCCCACTTCAATAATCTACATTTACTCACATGTCTTTACGAGATTATATTTTTAGCCTTTGAAACTCAAATATTGTAATCATTGAAGTGTTTGCTACTGTGGTGAAAACTCATACAATTTTGAGTGTACAGTTCAGGAGTGTTAAACATATTTACATTGTTGTCAAATCTCCAGAATTTCATTTTGCAAAACTGAAGGTCTGTATCAAATAAAAACTCCTCTTTTGTACCTGATAACAATCAATGAACCCAAGCACTAATTATAATGCTCTAATAAAAAAAGAAGGGGGACAATCTCATGAAAATAGAAGTGATATTAGTAAAGAAGAAGTAGTGGATCAACGGGGAAGGAGAAAGGGAAGAAAAGAGGAAGAACTGATAAAAATCAGCCAAATTATGCTACATACATGTATGTATATACCACAATGAATCCCACTTTTATTTGTAATAACAATGTATCAATGAATAAAAGTATTTTATTATTTTTGATTCTTTCATAACTGGAATTATCAATTTCTTTTTGAATTATCATTAGTATATAGAAACATCATATTTTTATGTCCTGAATTTTTGCTCAATTTGTTTACTAAACAGTTTCTTTCTTGTGGACTCTTTAGACTTTCTAACTTGTAAAATCATGTAGACCACAAATAGAGACCATGTGCTCTAGGAATAAATCCCGGTTCATCACATTGCATTCTCCTTTTCTAGATTCCATCAAATTCTGTTTGCTGGTCTTTTGTTGGTGGTATTTTCATCAATATTTCAAGCAAATCTTGTTTATTTGAAATTCCTCCTGTTGCATTTTTATTCCTTGGTTAGTTTATGTCTGTTTTAAACTTTTACTTTCTCTTCCCTTTTTTCTGAGTTTCTTGAGGTATTAAGTTGGATTGTTTATTTTAGATCTCCTTTCTTTTTAGTGTATGCACTTCTGGCTATAAGCTGTTTCTAAAGACTGTAAAAGTATCTTGAATTTTTCTTTTCATCTTCCTTTGTCTTAAGGTATATTCTAATTTCCTTTGAGTGTTCTTCTTTGACTTATTTGTTAAAAGCCGGTTTTAAAATTCCTACATGTTTATCAGTAATCAAGGTTTCCTTCTCTCCTTGATTTCTAGTTAGCTTCAGTTGAAATTAGAAAAGATACTCTGCATGACTTTATATTTAAAAAATTGTTTTTTAGCGGTCTATTCAGGAGAATGTTCTAAATATACTTGAGAATATTATGTATCTTAGTTGGCTGGGTAGAGTATTCTGTATACTGGTATACCAACTGGTATATCTTATTGTTCAATTTATATATTTAAGTATCAACTGCCTGGTTGTTCTGTCCCTTATCAAAAGTCAAGTACTGAAGTTTCCTATTCTTATTGTGTTGCTGTGAAGTTCTCCTTTCAATATTTTTCAGATATTCCTAATACTTTTAGGTATTCTGATATTTGGTGAATTTGCACTTTAATGTGAATGTAATACCCTTCTTTTTCTCTTGTAACAGTTTTGAACCATTTCTGTTATAACTACCCTTCTCTTACTTTGGTTATTATCTGCTGAAATAATTACTTTCTTTCCTTTCTTTTTCAGCCAATTTGTATTCTTAGATTTTCAAGTGATTCTTTCCAAGGCAGTGTATAGTTAGATCCTTCTTTTTTAAACCACTTCAATCATGTCTGTCTTGATTTGGGATTATAGTCCACTTAACATTTATAATAATTACTGATAAGGAAGAACTTATTGTTGATATTTTGTTTTCTCTGTTGATTATTTTATGCATATGTTACATATACACTGAATATCTTCTAGATGTTGTCCCTCCTTTCTCTCTCATTAACTTCTTTGTGTTTTATTGATATTTTATGATATGCTTTGATTCTCTGATATTTTCCTTGTGTATATATTTTATAGAATTTATTTTGATTACCATTGAAATTTCAGAAACTATCTTAACAATTTTAGTCTATTATAAGCTAATAAAACTTAATGTCAAATTACAATACACAAATTTTACTCTTTATAGATTTGTAGTCCACTTAATGTTATTTATGTCTCAAAATAGACATTTTTGTATTGAATACTCACTACATACAACTCCATTTTTTTTCTTAATTTTTGTTCTTTGAATTGTATGTAATCTATAAAAATAAGTTCAGGCATTGCAATCCCAGTGACTTGGGAGGCTGAGGTAAGATAATTGCAAGTTCAAGTCCAGCCTAAGCAACTTAGTGAGAGCCTGTCTGAAAATAAAAATAAAAGAATCTTGGGTATATGTCTCAGTGGTAAAGCATCTTTGGTTCAATCCCTGGTACCAAAAAAAAAGTGAATTCACACACCAAAATTATGATAATTTTTCTTTGTGTTTATCTTTCTGAGACAAATCAATAATTTTCACAAGTCTTGATTTTTTCTTGATTTTTGCACTTTCTTTTTAGCCTGAAGAAATCCTTTAGAATTCTTGTAGATTATGTTTATTGACAATGTACTTTTGTGACAATGTACTTTTGTATTTCTGAAAAAAATATTTTTCATCATTTACATATGACACTTTTGTTTTCACAAATATATTTTTGGTTGAGTTTCTTTCATTTAGTACTTTTACTGTATCTCTCAACCCCTACTGGCCTACAAGTCTTCTCCAGCAAAATTCACCAATAACATTATGAGAGTCACTATTGTATTGATGCATTCAAGATTTGTCCATGGCTTTGGACTTATGACCATTTGATTATACTATACCTCCTTGAGGTTCTCATGAAATTAGTCCTACTTGGATTTATTAACTTTCTTGATTCCAGTTTTATTAGTTACCAAATTTTCTGTCCGTTATTCCCTCATACCTGCTCTTTGTCTCTTTTTTATTAACTTTCTTGATTCCAATTTTCTTAGTTAACAATTTTTTTGTCCATTATTCCCTCATACCTGCTCTTTGTCTCTTTCTATCTTCTCCTTGTAAGACATATATTCCTCTGCTTCATAGTAAGTCATAGGACTAGGAACTTTTAGATTTATTTCACTGTTTTCTTTTTTTCATTTTGTGCTTCTGGCATGATGATTTCATTTTCACTCATTCTTATGTCTAACCAATTGTGCTTTTGAACTGCTCTAGTAAATATTTCAGTTCATTTGTTGTAATGTTTGACTCTACAATTGTCTGTTGATTTTTCTTTTTTTTAGTTTCTATAGCCTTGTCTATCTATCTATATATCTATATCTATATCTATATCTATATCTATATCTATATCTATATATATATATATATATATATATATATAGAGAGAGAGAGAGAGAGAGAGAGAAAATTTTTACAGATATTAATGCTGGTTCCTCAGTAAAAAGATAATTAGCTTAATTACTCATTTTAATAGGCTAAGTAAGAAAGCAAATCAAACAAATCAAAATCCAACAGTTAATTTCATGCTTATGTTGAGAAAATAATGCTTTACTCCTAAGATCAGGAACAAGGCAATAAAGTAGCCCACCACTCCTACTCAACATCATATTGGAATCCTTCTGGATTATTATTCATGGTTTAAGAAAATGAGTCATTAAACCATGAAAGACATAAATTAATTTTAACAGTACTTTAAAAAGGAGCAAAAAATTAATGGGCTATATATATTTATAATATTTATAAAACCTCTATAACATAGTATAATAGAAAAAAAACATTGAGACAGTAAAAAGATCACTCATTGCTAGGGCTTTAAAGGAATACCATTTGAAAAATATTATGTTCTTCTGCTTTTAGAAAAAAAATAATATAAATATTTTCTCAAACTAGTTCTAAAATCATATTTGATTATCCATTTAACTCTTCATAATCTGAAGTTTTTCCAATGTTGTTTTCATAAATACAGTACTTAAATCATTCTTAACAAAATGTTTTTTGATGTTTTAAATCTTATATTATTATGATGTTCATCTTATTTTAATATATTTTTCTGCCATTTGGGCTAAAATATTTTTACACCAAAAGAATATCAAAATTTACCAAAGTCTTTCATGTTCTATATTACTAAGAAAATAGCTTTAGTAGAGTAGTTTCTCAAATTTGATTTTACATTCATGGCAATGGCACAAAAAGTTGACAAATCTAAGTGGTAGAGAAAAACTGAAGCGATTATTTCTGCTCTTGTTGTCTATTTAGCACCCCAGGACAATATCCTTAGAGACATTTTCAGTTGTTCTGGCACAGCTAATTGGAATTAACCTGGGATTAGCTTATGATGACCTCTACAATTGTTACTGTCCAGAAAGTACATGCATAATGAATCCTGGAGCAATGTAAGATGTTTTTGATATCAAATTTATATCAACTTTTGGGAAGTAATTGTAGTATTCCTCAATATGTAATTTCTCACAATACAATGAATAAGAATGTTTTTATTAAATATATACATGCTTATTTAAAATATATGAAAGAGAGTGAGTACAGGACTTTATAGAAAATGTGATAAATAGTTCCTTATTCAATGACTGTATAGAGATGAAGTAGATATTAATGAGGTCATTCTGGGTTTTGTAATTATTGATATACTTTTCAAAGTGAGCAAATATAATAATACTTTAACAGTCACAAGCTTGACTGTAAACAGAACTAGAATAACGATGCTTGGTGAGGTGTTGGAACAGGTTAAACAGAAATAAAGAAAGCAGAAATGGTTGGGAATATAATGAAGGGTGTTTTAGGCAGAGGGAAAAGAAAGTGATATAGGAAGCCAAAGAATCATGAGTCAAGGAATGAAGCCCAGGAAATTAGATAGGAAATGTAGGAAAGCAGTTGACAATGGAATCATGAAGAAAGAGAGAGATGGGCTTTTATAATAAATGTAACAAAACACAATTTAATCAATTTATTCTGTATAGATAATAAAAATTATCCTGTAAAATATATCAGAGGGAGCGAAAATAAGGTAGCATGTGGGAGATGATGATTCTTATAACAATCCACAGAAATGTACCAAGATTGAGTGGAAGGGAGATTTTAAGAATTATTCATAAGTGCTGAATACTATAATTATTAATAAATATTGAGCAAAGGGCAATGCTTTAAGAAAGAAGAAAATGGGGAGAAATTTTTAGGGCTGTTTCTGTTTGTTAATTCTGAGTTATTCTGAATCATCCATTGAAACTGTCTAACACAAGGTTTTATAGGTCTGGATATTGGAGGATAGGAGTTCTAAAGTACAAATCATCGGTAAATGGAAGAGAATTAAAATCATGAACTCATAATTTTGAAAGAAGTTGTAGAGTGAAATGAGGTATCATAAGATAAAGTTTTCAGTCATTCTCATGTATACAGGTACCTGAGGGAAAAGCAATAACATGAGATGGTTGAAAACATTTTAGGACAAGAACCCAAATAGGATGGAGTGTTACACAGGGAGGAATGTGTTCTTGAACCCCAATGCTAAAAGTATCAACTAGGCCTGTTAGTCACCCAAAGGCCTTCTTTAAAATAGAAAATTAGGACAAATACAAAAGCAAGTACTACAAGATTCCCTCACTGGAATGCAACAAAACTACTATGTAGGACTAACCCATTGGTAAAATAATATCTGCATGAAGTAAGTAGCTGTGTGGGAGAGAGTAGAAGGAACATAGAGGGCCCTCTAAAATCTTACAGATCTGGAAACTCAGAATTGTTGGCTAATCCACATCCCAAAACGTTATTGCCCCTGCTGGCATCGAAATATCACTATGTTCATGGCCACACAGGGACAAAATGAGTTGTGAACATTTCTTAATATGCAGGCATGTTCTAAGTATCGAATAACAATACAAGTATGTATCACCCATTCATGGTTTTAAAATGCTCTTCTCTACCAAAAGGAGAATATCAGAGAAATGGTTGATTTCAAGGCTAAGGCAGAGAAAATAAAAATAAACTTGTGATATGCTGCATCTGAAAATAAGGACAGACCCAAATATTTGTGGAAATGCATTCTGTAATAAAATCAACAGATCAAAATGACTTTTATCACTAGTAGAGCTAATTGAAACCGTGTGCCACTGTTTATTTGACAATGAAACAAACACTGCAACTCTCACATAGTAATGTGGCCAAGATGAATAATTTAAATCTACTCACAAGGATATATTTCATAAACCTAAATTTCTAGACATTGGTTAAAATAATTAACCTTTAATTATAAACCTTTTCAACATCACAAATACTAACAAAGCATATGCAACTAAACTAAGAAAATGTGAGTGCTAAACACAGTGCTTCCTTGTAAACTGGGTCCTAATGTTATTGATATGTGGAGATATTTGAGTGGATGCACAGGAGTAGGTATTAATAATTATCTTTATTTCTTGATTTTGAAGGTCCTGGTGTTGTTACAAAGAATTCAATTGTATGAAAGAATTATATATTAAAGTTCTTAGAATTATCAGGACTCAGTGCTGGTATCTATTAATGTTTCAGCAAGCAAAATCTGTTTTGGACTACATTTGCATCATTGCTATTTGCATCATTGCTCAATGTTTGAGCTTGCCATAAAAATTAAACAAAAAGATCACTAAACAGTACATGTAAATACATAGAAATACTGTTGCTGGGCTTGGTGACCTGGGCCTATAGTCTCAGCACTTTGAAAACTGAGACAGGAGAATCCCTTGAGGCCAGGAGTTGGAGACCAATCTGGGTAGCATAGTGAGACCCTGTTTTTCTCCAAAAATGAATAGAGGGATTGTACATTACATATTCCTCAGTGTTGAAAAACTATGTTTAATACTGTTACTATAAAACAACTAGCCATGATTTTTCTATAACTTGACAAATCATCCTTTAATCCTCTTAAAATTTCAGCCTAAGTTCCTGGGTTTGTTCCATATTCTTAATGGCCATTTGAAATTCTTGTAATAGAAATGATGCTGAAAACATAGAATATATACTCTTAATAGAATTTGCATGCAAATCATTTTGAGTGTTTTGTCACTTTAACTTCCTCTATTTTCTGTATGTCTATTATAAAGAATTACAAAGGAAGTAAAATTATTGCTTTTGTTTATGACCTGTGTTAAGAAATAAAGATGATCTCCTCTCCTTTGGCTCTTTACCAGAACTCATAACACTTTTTTGAAGAATGTTACCTTGATATTTATTGACTTTATTCTATTTATCTGAGGAATATAATTTAATTTTAGACAGTCCCAAGGTGTAAAGGTTTTTAGCCGTTGCAGTACAGACGTATTTAAGCAGATAATTTCACAACCTCAATTTGGATGTCTGAGGAAAAAAAAACTTCTTTCACAATTGACTGCCAAACAAAGCCCACCTGCTTGTGGAAATGGAGTTGTGGAAATAGGAGAGGATTGTGATTGCGGCAAGCCAGAGGTCAGTGATAAACTTTCATAACATAGCCTAATATTTGTTCTTGTGTACCTTATGTAGCCTTGTAGATAAAGAAGACTTGCTTCTTTAAGTTATGGTACCATTTTAGTTTTGATAGGGAGATATGTGACATGCAATGACTGACATATTCTGAATTGGATGCATTTGATGAACTTAAAAAAAACTTATCTACAGATCAGCATAGCATGGATAAAACAGATTTTTTTTTCTATTTTACAACCAATAGTTGCATCAGTTTTCTGTACTGGCATCAGTAATCTAATGTAACCATCACTTAAATCATATCCACATTCCTCCAAATTGACTACATTTATTTTGTTATTCATCTCCTGATCTCCCAATTCCAGTCATTGACTTTGTGAAAATTCTTTATTTTAACTTGGTTTTCCAGAATTCAATTATTTCCATTGGATTATTTGACTTTGCCACCTAATAATCCATTATGTGAATAATATAGGATTACAGACTTCCTGTTTTCAAGTATTTAGTGAGTTTTGTAGATTTTTTTCTGATACTAATTAGGTTTTTAAATTTTTTTTTCTATACGTCTTGAAATTAATTCTTGTTGTACTTAAGTGTCTCAAGTCTACATATCTAGATATGGAAGTTTTGGGTTATCAGGTAGGTGAATAATGACTGGGAAAAGGCAAATTTATTTCAAATGTGGCATGCTAATTTATACTTTCAATGGCTGTTTACACTAGGACCCATACAATTTTTTTAATAGTGAATCAACACTTGCAATTGCCAGACAATTTTATGTTTAAAAAATATTTCAAGGGCTTGGGTTGTGGCTCAGTGGTAAGTGCTTGCCTAGCATGTGTAAGGCACTGAGTTTGACTCTCAGCACTGCATAACTAAAAAAAATATTTTTAAAAAATATTTCAATGTGGTTTAAATAGAACTTTTCTTAGTAATAGTAAAATTGATTATAAACTTACTAGCCATGTAAGTTTTCTTTGCTGTGAAGTGTCTACTTTTTGTACTTTGGTTTAGATGCACTTGATTTCTACAATGCAAACCACTAATCTTTTCTTTATGAGAACTAGTGGATTTTTATTTAAATAATTTAAATGTTCAAGTATTTTTATTGACTTAAAATTCCATGTGATTCCTTTAAAAAAAATCTTACTTTACTGGAAGAAAAATGTTACACAAATTAAATGTAGCAGAGTTGTAGGCAAAAAATCAACTCACAAATCAGGGAGCCCCCTGAGCTAAGAGAGGCTCAGAAATGTCTACTTAATAATAGGGCCAGGCAGTTTTTACCGACAGAAAACGGATGTAGTGTACAGAAACAGCTTGATTGGTGATAGCTCAGCATTTGTTTTATTTGGACATGGTGTGATTATGCATTTGTCTTATATTTACATGGTCTGATCAGTTGCCAGCCTGTGATTGGCTGAAGCTCCACTGATGCAATTGGCTGACACTCAGCTATTATAAACTCTCAGCTTGAAGTTTCTAAGTAGGGACTCAGCAGTTTAGGCCAAATTTAATTTAAATTAATAATTCCCCCTTTAAAGTCAGCCTTTCAATTGGAAAGATTGATCAAAAGCTGTTGTCATCATAATGGGTTTGTTTGATTTCAGTATGGAATTAACAATTTTGAATATGAAATCAGCTGAATATTTCTTTTGGGACAATTTTTTTTTCTGTATTCTACCATACAGAGATCATTTGATTGGTAGTGTACAGTTGCCTATGAGCATATTATATCCTTAAGGGGGATGCAAAATAGCAAGAAGATGTTATGTTGACTATCATGAAGATAGCACTAAGAGACTAGATGTTTACTCTTTACCAGGAGCATCCAAAACCAGACCTTTCAAAACAAAATGTTCAAAAAATAAGACAGAAGAGGAACTTTGTTTATGGATTTCTTGCTAATAAGCTTCTGTTATACCAAATATATTTATTCAAATGAAATAGGAGGTATTAGATAATATATACTCCTTCCTTTGGAGCTGACAGTCCAATGCAATCATATCATCTCAAACAAATTTAACAAGAGAAATTAAAGAACTTAGCTCTGCAAATGTGCTCTTTGCAATGGAGACAGTTCTACTACTAATTTTGACATGAATCTCTAATCATAGCCTCGTTTAGATTGATATCAATTAAGGTAAGGAGTATTCTACAAAATGATGCTCACTTCGTAGAGATGTGCCTCTACTGGCAAATTCCTATTTATTTTTTAGTCTAGACCAATGTTCATTTCTAGTTGCTTACCAAATAGCAATAATTCTGTTAGAAACTGTAATCAATTTTGACCCCTTATTTACATTTGTTGCTACATGAAGTTGCTAAGGCATAGAGTTGATCATAAAATTCTCTAAAGATGAAACTATATCCTCTAAGAACGAAAGGTTGGTCCCTGTGGGATGCCCTTGTCTTAGGGATTAAGAGTAGGAAAGCACAGGTAATATTTGCTTATGGATCCATTATTGAATCATTGCATAATTAGAAACTACTTAAGTGAAGGGATTAGAGTCATAAATTTTCCTGCAAACCATTGTTCCTTTGGGGTTTCTTACTCAATTTATGACATAATTTAACTGCAAATCCCTCAAACATGTCTTGTCTATTATCATATTAGGCAACCTGACAATTTGTATAGTTAATCTAAAAATCTGGCACTGTAGGAAGGGACCTGATGATGGACTTGGAACATCATTGAAATTTGTTACACACATTCTAATATTCAGCTGTTTCTTGTGGAGAGGATCCATTAACAAATCTTACTTATTGCATTATTTTGACATATATAAACTGGAAGGAAATATGGGGAAAAGAGGACAAGGGAAGAGAGAGGTCTGGACCTGTCATCTCTGGAAAGCTTTCCATGTCTAGGATTCTATGTGCTTCTGAAGAGAAACATCCATGGTCAGTTTTACTTTGAGGTCTACAATGAGTGTACAATAGGGGCCCTCTTGAATTGAGTGAGATAGCTACAAGACTGGTGGCTGTGAAATGTTGATGCAGAGAAGAATCGAGTGTGGTCCTTTCCAATGGAGTTCATGGGTAGTTCTTATGTCATTTTGAAAGACCTAATCTCCCAAGTTCTAGATCATGAAGTGTGTGGTTTTAAACAGTTGTTTGGTGACAAAGGGCATCTTTTACCTGGTGAAAATATGCTTAAGGAATGACGCGGTTGAAATCATATCCTTGCAATCAGCAGTCCTGTTAGAGTCCTGTTAAGAGTAGGAGGAGACACATGAAGTCCTATTATTAGGCACATAAGCCTTCCCTTAACTTTTTTTTTTTTTTTTGTACCAGGGAATGAACTCAAGGGCACTCCACCACTGAGCCACCAGTCTTATTTTGCATTTTAAGGTCTCACTGAGTTGCTTAGTACCTCGCTTTTTCCAAGGCTAGCTTTGAACTCACGATCCTCCTACCTACTAGAATTATAGGCTTTTGCCACCATGCCCGACCATAACTATTTTCATAGGGGTCAGTCTGTGTTTTCTATGGGAGATAGATCTGATTGCCTTTCAGGCTAACAATAATATCTTTGGCTAGGACAACTCAGTCAATTCAGTTAGCTTTGCATTGGTAGTGTTGTGTTTGTAGTACTTAGTTGACTCCTTTACAACATGTCCAATGAAACAAATATCTTTAGCAATGGAGACTTCTCCAGGAATTTCCCAGAAATGAAACATATTTTCTAATAAAGTTTTTGTTACTCTTATATCATCAGCCTTCCTGTGAGGGAAAGTTTCTATCAAAGCAGAAGACAAACACTGAAGTTGGTAATTGAGTGTAATCCATCTGTACATATTCAAATGACCCCACAGGTATAGGAAATGCATCACCTGTACTGTCTTACTGGGGTGTTATGAGTTTTATATATCAAATATCAGTCACTCTACCAGTATTATTTTTATAATTTGGATGATTTTATTTACTCTATGATGAATCATAGATAGCAGTTTCAGAGTATTTTTTCCATATTGATACCTAGCCTCATTTGCTGGAAAGACTATTCCTTTTCATATTGGTTTAGTTTGGCATATTTATTGAGAAGTAATTAATCATATTTCATTCATATTTTTACAATCGCACTTCCTGAGAGTAGAAGACAACAATGGGGCTTACCAGGGTTGGTCAGGAAGAAGAAAGAGTTAGGAGGAAAGGATGGGCACAGGGCTTATTGGGTTTTTCATGGAGAAGGCAAGGCAGGGAAGGAAGGGTACATGATTTAGGACTAGCTAGCTTGAATAGTAATGCTGGTGTTCTCTGACCTACAGAGTTGGTACCTAGTTGTCAGTGTCTGTCTCCAGTGTTGTTATGAATTGGAAATATTGGCTTGCTGCATAAGAGTTAGATAAAAGTAGTGATTGGCGTTATGGGTTATGGACCGGTTGATTTGCATGTGAAAGGCTTTCTTACAGGCAAATTGTTCACTATCTGAAGGAATTTCAATTAGCTATTCCTTGGAGGGACCATTTCTCCACACCAGCAAGGCCCCTAAGATGTAAAAGCATAAATAAATACAGATAATAGAAAATATGATTAATATACATGCATGGCTATTAGTATGCAAATAAATTAAAAATAAGGAAAATTCTAAATTCAGCTTATAAGTCACACTGGTTATCTTTCGGGGGCTCAACAGTCTCATGTGATGAGTAGCTAGTGAAATTGATAGCACAGAGAAAACTACCCTCATAGAATTAAATTCAAGACACACTTTAGTAAGCAGTTATGTGTCACTTAACAATGGGATGATTTATGCATCATTAGGTCATTTTTTTTTTGTTTTGTATGTTAGACAAACCTAGATAGTATATCCTACTATTTACCTAGGGTATGTGGTATAAACTATTTCTCATAGGCTAAAACTGTACTTAATATTACAGATGTTTTAATTCAATGGTACACATTTGTGTATCAAATTTATATACAAACATAGGAAAGGTTCCGTAAAATTATGTCATAATAGAGCACTCTGAGTTAAGGCACTTATCGTGAATGGAGTTTGCAAGACTGGAAGTTGTTCTGGGTGAGTTGGGGAAGTGAGTGGTGAGTGAAGGCGAAGGCCTAGGACACTACACTACACTACTGTAGATTTTATAAACACTACACTTAGTATGTACTGACTTATTAAAACTACTTTTCTGTTGTCTATATAAAATGAACCTTAACTTACTATAATACTTTTACTTTATAAATGTTCAACTTTTTAAAATTCTTTGACTCTTTAATAACAGCTTTAAAAACAAGGAAATTTTAAGCTCTCCAAAATACTTTCTTTCTGTCCCTTTTCTTTTATCTTTTATTTTATTTAAGTTCTTCCATTGTAACTGTAACTATATTTTGATCAAAAACTAAGAAACACCCACATTGACTAGCCTCAGCCTGTACAGGGTCAGGATTATCAATAACACTGTCTTTCTTTAGGGGCAATAAGTTGTTTGAAGCAAGTTATTCATAATAATACCATCTTCTGAAAATTTCCTGAAATATCTGAGACTGTTTTATAGTTAAATTTTCTTTTATTAGAAGGAGAACACTCTAAAATAATGATAAAAATTATAGCATAGCAAATATACAAACCAGAAACATGACTATTTATTATTTTTGTGAAGTGTTACATACTGTACATAACTGTGTGTGTGATAACTTTATGTGATTGGCAGCTCAGTAGGCTTGCTTATACAGAATTGTCACTTATGCCAGAATTGTTACAAAGTAATGTGTTGCACGATTAAGTTATAATGGTTATGTTACTAGGCGAAATGAATCTTATCTCCACCCATTTAAAGGACTATTACTTTTTTTAAATTTTATTTTTACTTGTAGGTGAACACAAGAATCTTTATTTTTAGGTGGTGCTGAGGATAGAACCCAGTACTTCACATGTGCTAGGCGCGTGCTGTATTGCTGGGCCATAACCCCAGTCCAGGACCACATGTTTTATATGGTCTGGCCTTGACAGAGTGTAGGATTATATTATTACAAAACTGTTTCTAGATTACTGAGAATTTATTACGTAGCATATGATCATGATGAACGTAAACAGAATTGTATAATAATCAATAATCTCCGTGCTTTGTGTTTAATTATAGGTATGCAAATATACAAAGTGCTGTAATGCCAAAAGTTGTACTTTTACTAAACCTAATTTGGAATGTGGCAGTGGACCATGCTGTAATCCAAGCTCTTGTACTGTAAGGTTTCAAATATTTCATTATCTTCCTTCATGATTTTTTTGTGTTCTTATGTATCCCTTCCCTTTTACAGCTTCTTTGAATTACATCTTTCAAGTAATTTATATTCTATCCTGTGAGCTCTTTTTGGATCAAGTTATTACTCACATATAAATAATGATTTTGCATCCTTAGAATGTGTTTGTACAGAACACATTTTATTCCACTGAGGAGTAGATAGTAAAGATATTTTGTGTTGTTTTTGTCATTTTGTTTGTTTCAAGTTAATTAGTGACTCCTGTTGGTAACCAAGAGAAACCCAATCATACATGATTAATTTACAGACTGACAGGATGCCCTTAAGGCTCAACTTTCTTAACTGCAGTTTTTACTGAGCCCATATGGAAGTCCCATTCAGTTCACATACAATACTAATTCTATATTATTTGGGTGTTGTGACTTTCTTTGGGTCATGCCTGAATATAACTCTTCATGACTAAATGATTGATGTCACATTTTGAATAAACCATCTTAACCACACACAGTTGACATGCAGTGTTTCAAGAAACAGGCAACAATAATAACAACTCTTATTTTGAAAAAAAAATTGCAGAAAAAGAATCAGTGCAGAAAAGTCAGCAGTATGTACTATATGAAATACTGAAGTAGCTTTGGTAAAGTTTTCTTTTCCACTCTGTGGACTAGTGAGTAAAGCCAATAGCTATTTATTTATAAGGTGCATGAATGCCAAAGACAGACCTAAGGTTTCTACTTTTTAGACCCTGCTGCTTTTCCATTCACCAGAGCCCTTGGATTGGCTTTTGTCTTCTGAGAAGTCTATTGCTATCTGCCTACATCCTAAAGGAATGGAGATAATTGCTCCTTTTGGTAAATGAAAATTCACAGCCCAAATTGCTAGGCAGGGCCTCAGTAACAATAACTGAGTGCATCAGATGTGTTCATATTTATTTTTTGTACATTATAAAATTTGACTTTTGCTGCCATTCAAAAGCTCACATGTGTTTTATACTCTTTCATTAGTGAAGAAGGCTTCATATTTTGTCTTCTTTCAAAAAGCAGTGTCTTTTTTTTAAGATGGACACAATATGTTTATTTTATTTATTTTTATGTAGTGCTGAGGATTGAACCCAGTGCCTTACAATGTGCTAGGCAATTGCTCTACCACTGAGCCACAACCCCAGCCTACCAGTTTCTTTTCAAAATAGATTCTTTTTAGTTATACACAACAGTAGGATTCATTACTACCAATGAGATTCGATCCAATTTTTTTCTTATAAATTTTCAACTTAGACACAACTTCATACAAATACAAAAAAGAAAATAGTCGAACCAACTGATTGCTAACAATAATGAGGAGTGAATATCTGATCAGAACTTCAGTTACTATAGGTAATTAAAATTAAGTAGTATCACATTAGAATAATTATTATTGGTCAGTTTAATCTTGACAATGAATAGTCAAAGAAAAACAAATATTTCAGAAGCTTAAGTAGAATTTGTATAAGTGTATGCTCAGATGAGTCTTTCTTCAAACATTAACAAGAATTTTACTCTCTGTTTTGGGTATCTTTGCTTTTCTGCTAGCAAATCTCAAAGAAGCCTTCCCCAAATATGTGGTATGGTTAGGTTATCACTTCTTACTGTTTTATTTCGTACAGTCTAATATTTCAAAAAAGTATAGAGATTCTGTCTTTCCCAACATCCACAACAATTCTTACTTTTAAAAGGAAATCCCGATTGAGCCTGACAAATATTTGTCTTTTTCTTTGTCTCAAAGCTGTACGAAAGAGGACATTTGTGTAGGAGAAGTAGAGATGACTGCGATTTTGCGGAATTTTGCAATGGAACATCTGAGTTTTGTATGCCTGATGTGAAAGCTGCTAACTTAGAGCCATGTCATAATTATACTGCTTATTGTCTTTATGGGCTTTGCCGAGATCCGAGCAGACAGTGTAAGGACATATTTGGAAGATGTAATTATCATCTTTTTTTTCTGGTTTTCATTTTTAAAATGCAATTAAGTTAAAGTCAGTAATCCATCCTATGGCCATATTAGAAAATGTTGTTTTACATTTACATAGGAAAGTAAACTTGTAAACCATCGTAACTTTGATCTATGCCAAAGGTAGAATTGGCTTACTAACTATAGAACAGATATTTATCAAGTTTCAAGTGATTGGAGGAATAGGAGTAGACTATTAGAATATGACTTCAAAGAGAAAAATGACTGGTTTCTTAATAATATATGGACTGTATTAAAGATTTTCACATTCGGGACAATATGTAGTTATTGTTTGGTTTCCTTGTATTACACAGTAAAAGGAATCAATATTTCATAGTAGATGGGTGGGCATTGTTGTCTACGTGTCTCTTTATTGACTGCAAGCACTTTCAACAATTTTAATGAGTTTTTAAATCTGAGTAATTGAAAATTCATATTTTTTTCAGATGCCTTAAATGCTCCTTATATATGTATTGAAGAAGTAAATTTTCAAAACGATAAATTTGGAAACTGTGGAAAAAGTTGTAATTTTGGGTAAGCACTTAGGAAATCATACATTTTCCATGTATATATACTGTGTATATACAGCAAAGTGTCATGTGATAGAAATGAGAGATGAATGTACACTTTGTTCTGCTTCATAAGATGGTTTAGTTTTGGTATTATGATCTGTATAATTCTTTGAGTTATCTTCTATTTTGAATTGTTATTTTCCAAGTATATTAGAAAACTAACTTACAGACAGGTAACTTTTATGTTTCATATTGCCAGGTTTATCCTTTGTGGAAAAGTAGTTTGTAGCTATGGACATACAGAAGTAGCAGATATGAAAGATTATGATTTTCAGTATACGTACCTTGCAGGCCATGTATGTGTGTCTGCACATTTAAGAAATACTTCAAGACCTGATGATACGTATGCACATACTGCCAATCCTTGTGATGAAGATAGGGTAAATACAATTTTACTTGATATTACTTATGGTGTAATTGTTTGTGAATGTGTGAATTTGTGTTCATAAGTGCATGTGTGTATGAATATTTGTGACAGAGCTTATTATTTTAAATTTATAATCAATGCTAATACTTTTGGATACTGCATCATATCCCTTTAGTGAAAAGATCAAAATTTGTTTGTTAGAGGAAACTTTTGGTTCATTTTTACTGAAATTTTTCAATAGATATTTGAACTTGATTTCTCACACTACTGAATATAAGCCCCCATTCTCAAGCTAAGATGTGATCTGCAGTAATTATGTAATTGACAAACAAAAAGAATGAAATGATACACACAAAGATGGCACAACAAAAATGCCACAAAAATGACAGCTTCTCAGAACAACCTGAATTATGAGAACATTAAAGAGAAATTTAAAAGGTTAAGTATTTCCTCTGGTAGTGATTGTCAAGGAGAATTAATTTGGTTACAAGTAAAGTAAAATATTTATGTTGCTTATTAACCTATACTCCTAAAATTTCCTCTAAAACATAATATTTCTGTTAAAAAGTCTTTCCTCCATAAAATACAATAACAAAAAAATTGAATTTTAAGTTATACTTTTCTTTTTTATGTAAATTTTTTAAAATTATATATGACAGAAGAATGCACTGCATTTCTTATTACATATATAGATCACAATCTTTCATAACTCTGGTTGTATACATACATAGTATATTCACACCAATTCGTGTCTTCATACACGTACTTTGGATAGTAATGATCAGCACATTCCACCATTAATTACCCCATACCCCCTTCCTTCCTCTTCAACCTCTCTGCCCTATCTAGAGTTCAGTCTGTTTCTCCTATGCTCCCCCTCCTTACCCTACTATGAATCAGCCTCCTTATATTAGAGAAAACATTCAGCATTTGGTTTTTTGGGATTGGCTAACTTCACTGAGCATTATCTTCCCTAACTCCATCCATTTACCTGAAAATGTCATGATTTTATTCTCTTTTATTGCTGAGTAATATTTCATTGTGTATATATGCCACATTGTTTTTATCCATTCATCCACTGAAGGATCTAGGTTGGTTCCACAGGTTAGCTATTGTGAATTGTGCTGCTATAAACATTGATGAGGCCATTTTTAAGTCAGCAGGACAAACCAAATCAGGAGGCTATATAAGTGTAATCAATCAAATACAATAATTCCCTTCCTTCCTGGTTCATCGGATCAATGCTTCCCTCCTGTGTGTAAACACATTTTCTAAACCACTACTGGTTTGGAGATGCCGAATTCATAATTGACAGCTCAAATAAATTTTTAACATTTGGTGCTTTGATTTATATTTTAAACAAAGACAATTTTCATACACGTGAGGCACTGGGTTTGATCTTCAGCAAGGCATTAAAAAAAAGCAAATGGATAAAATAAAGATATCGTGTCTATCTACAATTAAAAATATTTTTAAAAAATATTCTGTCAGATAACATGAGGAAAGCCAGACATCATCTTAGAACATGCCTCAAAAGACTAAGTTTTAGTAGAAGAATATTGATATGTTAGGTAGAATACACATTGTAAAATTTGTGGTTAATGAACATTTACCATATGCCAAATGGCTTTTGTTCATTTGTGTGCAGCAAGTTTTTTCACTCTTATGATATGTGAGATGTTTAATAGTATCCCATATGCAAAGATGAATAATTGATGTCTGGAGAAATTCAGTAACTTTCTCCAGGCCACTCTGCTAATATGAAAGATATAATTATAAGTGGAGAAAAAGCAAACATGATGGGAATACTGCTTTTAGCATCAATGCTAAACAATGCCTTAGGTTCTGTGAGTTAAGAAGTTCTTGCACTGAGAAATAGTTCTTTCATAGCCTATGGCTTGAACTTCAGTGTGTAAATTTTATTCTCTCTCTCTCTCTTTTTTTTTTTTTTGGTGGTACTTGGGTTTGAATACAAGGCCTTGTGCATGCTAATCAAGTACTCTACCAACTGAGCTGTATCCCCAGCCCCATAAATTTTATTCTCTTCAAATATTAAATGAAAGTAAAAATGCTCCTCAAGGGTTTTATGAGCATAGAAAAGAAAAATGCATTAGGTGCAAAGGCAGTTCCTAGTCAAAATATTTAGTAAAAGCTTGTTTTGTTTGTTCTTATACCAATTCATAATAATTAATGTACAGCTCTGCTCCATCAAGGGAAAAATGATATGTTTTTGCAAATTAATACTTCATAAAGGAATAACACACTATGTTGATATTGACTCCAAGATTGTTTTGAAGCATGAACTATTTTGCATATCACCCCTCCAATATAAGTTTTACAACAAGTATGATTCCTCAACTCTTGAGTTTACATTTAAAGGTTTTGCTGTTGGTAGTTGCTTCAATATTTTAAGTTTTAACATGTGTTTTAGTCTTGTCATGGCAGGTCATGTGTTCTCGTACATGAACATCCCTTTAAAGCACCTTGTAACTCACATGAACAATGCAAAGGACATGGGGTATGTAACAGATTCTCTCTTTTTAAATATGATTATGTCAATAAGCTTTTATAGGATAATTATGTTCAGAATTATTTGATGTGGAAATTTCTTTTAGAAAATCACAATTAACAAGGAAATTACATTCCATTATTTACACAAATGTACATAATTTATTTTTATAATCAGATTTTTATATTCCTCATGAGCATATTAAGCTTTGAATTTGTGAAAAGGTAATGTGAAACATCGTGACAATGCTTAATTAAAATGATGGAAATTTAGAACTGGATTTATTAAGCATTACACATACATTATACATTTATATTTTTAAATTGAATGGGCATGTACTTCATATATTTATAAATACACAAAGTATTTTTAATATTCACACTGCTTATCATCTAATAACATTATGAAATTATTTCTTTTCCATTGACATTCATTTCATCTTTTGACAACTTCAATTTATTTCATTTTATGGATCTTTTCTTCTACTCTCTTCAAAGATTCATATATTGATGGGCTTCCAAATAATTTTAACTTTTAACTTCTGCAAATAGTGGTAAAAATAGACATTGTTGTGAATTTAGCTTTGCACATTTATCTGATTTCTTCAAATTATTAGCATTGAAATATAATGGGCAAAACTTATGTAACATTTAAATTTTCATAAGTGCATATTGGATTTTAGAAACACTATACCAACTTTTGATCCCAAATATCATGTATGAAAGTATGCATTTCCTCATATTTTTGTTAGACTATTTTATCAGTCTTTTTAATGTCTTCTAACATGCTGAATCCATCTCTGACTTGCATTTACTTAGTATTCAATGATATAGGGCTTAAATGTTTTGTTGTATCTGACCTTGGTATTTGTATTCATCCATCCATTGTTAAATTAATTGCTAGGTTGTAGAAATTTTCTAAATTTTGTAAGTTTTTCCAAGCTACATTTTGCTTTAGTTTGGGACCAGTGTCTTTATCCATATTGATGCTTTATATAGTAATTCTGCTAAAACAGAACCTGTGTCTCACATCAACATTTTTTCTCAAGTCACATACATATTCTGTTACTCAGAATTTTGTTTCTGTTTCTTATATAGTTTTAATTTAACCTCTTATTTAATTTTTGCATGAGACTATTTCTGAATTCTTCATTCCGCTATTGCTGATTTATTTATTTGCTAATTATATTTATAGATATAATTTTCAATACTTCATATGAATATTGGCATTTGTAATTGACTAAATTATTTCTCCTTTTGTTTTCTTCCAACATTCATAGACTTTGTCTCTTATCACAGTTCATTTTACAATGCATGGCATAAATTAATAATAAAACTTATCATCATTTTATTCTTTCTAGCTTCATTGTCTCTATTTTTTTCTAAAATAATGCATTTTAATTTATGGAAGGAGGATAGGAATAGAGAAGCAGTAGAATGAATCTGATATAACTTTCCTACGTACATCTAAGAATACCACAGTGAATCTCAACATTGTGTGCATTCACCAGACTGGGATCCTAATTAGAATATGATACATTCCATGTTTGTATAAATATGTCAAAATAGACTCTACTGTTATGTATGACTAAAAATAACAAACATTTTACAAATAATGTTATGTAATTATATTTTAAAATATGAAAAACAATAACACTATATTTAAAAGGATGTTTCATGCCACTTTTATTAAATTTATTATGGTTTACTTGGTCTAACACAAAAAATGAATTAAGTTTTATATTGTATATAAAAAGTTCTTAGTTTTTGTTTGGTTTTGGTTTTAGATTTGCAATAGTAAATTACATTGTCACTGTGACGCAGGATATGCTCCACCAGATTGTGAAGAACTACTGTCATCACCAGGAGGGAGCTTCGATGATGGATTTTGGGTTTCATCAGGTTAGTCTCCAGATCATATTTTTCTAATAGAGCTTGTGATCCCATAGAAATGGTCTATAATTTTTTTGTTCTTTATGACTATTAAGCACCTGACAAGTGGGTAATACAACTGAGGAATTGAGATTTCCATTTTTATTTTACCTTTTTAAATAGCCACGGGTGGCTATTTTGTAACCACACTTTAAATTTTAACCTAGAAGTAGGCATTTTAGGAGTTCTCCCCTAAATTTTAATCATGATTGTTTGAACATGTTTATTTATATAGCAAATGTTTTTCATAGACATATATTTAAATTATATGAATGATGATATTTACATAGTCTGTATTATCCAAGAGTGTCCTATGTTGTGATGTCCTATTTCACAATCAAGTTGCAAGTTTAAGTGTAGCACTGAATAGGAAAAATATCCATTTCTTCCATATCCAAAGCATATGATAGTAGGCACTAAATATTTGATTCCATTAAATCTAGTTTGTGTTTTTTAAAAATTTTATGTTATATCCATTAATGTGTGTCTTAATCTGTACTATTTTTATTGCTCTAATTTCTCAGACTAGTTTCTAGAGATGAAAATCTTATTCTCCCTGATTTTAATTTTTTTCAATTTTTATGTATTTAAGACTATAAATATCCTTATGAATTATATCTGTAAAACTACAAATACCCAGTAACAAAAATTTGATATGGCATATCAAATTTAACATAGTACTATTCTTTGAAAATGTCAGGATTTTATTAATTTTTATGGCTGAATAGTATCCCATCATGTTTATATAAATACATAAGAAAAGAAAATTATGTATATTTATATTATTAAATTATTATATTATTAAATCAGCTGTTATGACACCAATACATTGTAAAAAACATAACAACTAAATAAACTGGAATTAATAATAATTAAAAGTTGTTGTGAATAAAAAGGCACCATCAAAGTGAAAAGAAAATCCACAGAAACTATTTTCAAACCATTATCTGTTGAGGTAGAGAGTATGAAGAGAAAACCTACAACACAACACCACAATAAGAAAAATGGCCAAAGAACTCAAGTGGACATTTTTCCAAAGCTGTTGAGATGGCCAGTTGTACATGAAAAGATGCTCAATATAAATAATCCTTAAAGAAAATGCAGTCAAAACTATAATTACATATTAAATCATACTATTAGAAATGGCTACTATGGAAATGTTTAGAAAATATCAAATTTTGGACAGGATATAGAATATGAGAATGAGAACTCTTATGCATTGATGGTTGGATTTTTATTTATCCTTGAAAGAATTGAAATTTTAACAATGGTCCCAATATGAATACAAAATACTTTTAAAAAACCACTATAACAGGTCAAGTATTATATTATTCTGCTTCAAATAGTCAAAGATGAATTCTGATTGCCAGAGGTTAGGGGAAAGGCAAGTGTTAATATTTTAGATGGTTTCAGTTTGGCAGTGGGATGGTATTATTGATGGTGGCACAAAAATGTGAATGTACTTAATGTGACCTTTAAAATATTTGAAATTCTAAATTTTATGCATTTCATATTTTATTTTAATATAAATTAATTTAGGCAGATTTCATTTATTATATATCAAAATAATATAATGTGTAGAGATAATCTTAAGAAATGTGACATGCACTGAAATTTAAAAATTTATTATTGAAGGTAATTAAAGATATATGTAAAATATATATAAATATATCACATTCATTTAATGTTAAATTCAACATTGTTAACACAGAATGCTTTGCCCATGGATTTGACACTATTCTTAGTAGACCCAGATGAAATTTTATATTTTCTTTACTTTCTTTTTCTCTATGTGTGTATGTATGTTTGTGTGTGTGGTTAAGTTACTCCTTTCATGATTTATTCTGGGGCACTTAACTCATTTACATTTTCTATTACAATACTAATGGGCTGATTGCCTGATTTTTATTTTTATATTTTGATTTTATGGGGGTTTTGTTTGTTTTTTCATTACTGGGTATTGAACTCAGTGCTGCTCTACCACTGAGCTACATTCTCAACCGTTTTTTGTATTTTTGTTTTTAAATTTTGAGACAGGGTTTCATTAAGTTGCCAAGCAAGACTGGCCTTGAATTTGAAATCCTCCTGCCTAAACATCCCAAGTCATTGGCATTAAAGGCATACACCACTACATATAGTTTATTTTCGTTTTCAGGCTTCATTCTTTTGTTTAATAAAAATAAGTTTCCATTGGTTTTATTTTTCTCTCTTTTACTTCTTCTTTGCTCTGTCTTGTAAACTGAAGAAACTTCTATTAAACAATAGTAAATTTAGTGTCATAATTAGCAGTTAGAAGAAATTATGAGTAACATTGCATATATAAATTTAAGTATATGTAAAAAATTATAAATGCATGTCAAATATATATTATCAACGACTTTATTGTCAATTACATCTAAGTGTATTGAGTTAAAATAAATGTATAATGTATTTTGAAACGGACAATATTATTAAACTTCTAAATTCAAATTCATTAATTCTTTAACCATATCACTGGACTTGTAAATTTGAACATAGCTCTTAAAAATGTTAAAAAGTACACTTATATTTTCAGACCAAGCCAAACTTATGCTTTTAAACAAAAAAACTGTTCCTAAGAAAAATGGACTCTTGATCAGTTTCTACATTTTTCTACCTTTCCTCATTATAACTTCCATGGTTGTTCTTAAATGGGATAAAATGAAGGAATTTTTGCATAGAGAAGAAACAGTAAGTGGAGGGTAAGTAAACATAGTATTTTTATTTTTCTTAACTAATTTGTGATTGATTAATGATAGTTATACATAACATTGTGATTTATTTTGACATAATTATAAATTCAGGGAGTATAACTTGCTCCAATTAAGATCCCCTTACACTTTCCCTCCCCCTGTTCCCTGTCCTCTACTCTAGTGATCTTTCAACTTATTTATAATTTCTTTAAAAAATAGTATATTGTGGATATACATAATAATGAGAGTCACTGTAGTTTATTCATACATGTACATTGGAAAGTTAGGTCAGATTCATTCTGAAGAAACTCTCCTGATTTTTCTTTTATTTTGACGGATCCCCCCCACCTTTGTTTTCTGTCTCCCTTTCCCTGCCCCTTAATTTTAGACTAACTTCTACATATCAGAGAAACTGTTCAACACTGGACTGAGTCTGATTTATTTCATTTAGCATTATAGTCTCCAGTTCCATCCATTTATCAGCAAATGACATAATTTCCATTTTTTTATGGCTTTTTTCATGATTCATTCATCTGTGGAAATGTGGCTACATTGGTTCCATAGTCTAATATTGTGAATTGTGTTGCTATGAACATTGATTTGACTGCATTCCTAGAGTATGCTGATTTTTAGGTATTTTGAATATATACTGGGGAGGGGGATTGCTGGGTCATATGGTGGTTTCAATCCTAGTTTTTTGAGGACTATCTACACTGCTTTCCAGAGTGGTTGCACTAATCCACCAGCAATGTATGAGTGTTACCTTTTTCCCACATCTTTGCCAACAATTATTATTTGTATTCTTGATAATTGCCATTCTGATTGAAGTCAGAAGAAATCTCAGTGTAGTTTTGATTTCCATTTCCGTAATTGCTGGAGATGCTGAATATATTTTCATATATTTGTTGACCATTTGCATTTCTTCTTTTGAGAAGTGTCTGTTTAGTTCTTTTGATTATAGATGGAGCATGTGCTTTTTGGTGTTTGAGTTTATTCTATTAGTATGGATATTATTCATATATTCTGCATATGAATGCCCTATCTGAGGAGCAGGTGGCAGAGACCCTTTCCAATTCTGTAGGCTTGCTTCACACTCTTGTTTCCTTTGACATGCAGAAGCTTTTAAGTTTGCTGGCATCCCACCTATTGATTTTTAGTTTTATTTCTTGCACTTTAGGGGTCTTGTTAAGGAGGAAATTTCCTGTGCAGATATTATGGCCTCTTATGACTATATTTTTTTCTTGTAGTTGAAGAATTTCTGGTTTAATTCTGAGCCTAATTAATCCTGAGTCTAATTAAATTAAATTCCGGTCTAATTAAGCCACTTTGATTTGACTTTTGTGCAGGGTGAGAGATAGAGGTCAAGCTTCCTTCTTGTACATATGGATTTCCAGTTTTCCCAGTTCTTAAAAAGACTATCCTTCCTCCAAGGTATGTTTTTGGCACCTTTGTCTAGTACGAGATGACTGTATTTATGTGGGTTTGTCTCTGTGTCATATATTCCAATCCATTGGTCTTCCTTTCTATTTGTATGCCTGTACTATACAGTTTTGTTACTGTTACTCAGTAGTGTAATTTCAGGTCTGGAATCTTCATCTACTCCAATGATTTTTAAATCTGTTCTCTTGGTGATGTGCCAAATTTCTTTTGGTCATAGTCTTTATGGGTTGAAAAATCTGCAGAGATCCTAATTGGTTTCACCCTATATGTGATCTAATTCCATTCTCTCATGGCTTTTAAGATTCTCTCCTTATTCTTTATGCCAGGAATTTTAATTATAGTGTGCCTTGATGTAGATATGTTGTGATTTTGTACATTTGGTATCCTGTAAGCCTCTGGTATTTGGTTTTCCAATTCATTCTTCATGTTTTGAAAATTCTCTGACATTATTTCATTGAATAGATTGCTCATTCCTTTGGTTTGGAACTCTATGCCTTCCTCTATCCCAATAAGTTGTAAATTTGGTCTTTTTATGTTATCCCATATTTCTTGAGTGCTCTGTTCATGGTTTCTTACCATCTTCACTGTGTGATCTACATTCTTTTCAAGATTATGTATTTTTTCTTTATTGTCTGAGGTCCTGTCTTCCAAGTAATCTGTTGGTAATGCTTTCTATTGAGCTTTTAATTTGGTTTATTGTTTGTTTCATTTCAAGTATTTCTGTTTTTTCCCACAACCTCCCAGTTCTTTATCAAAGTAATCTTCTGCTTCCTATATTCGATTATGTAGCTCTTTATCAAAACGATCTTTTGCTGCCTGTATTTGTTTGTTTATATCGTCTTTTAATTCACAGAACGTTTTAATTATGTACATCATCAACTCCTTCTCTCTGATTTCTTCAGTTGGACTATCCATGGATTCTATTAATGTAGTATCTTGATTTGTTTGGGGCACCTTTTCCCCTTGTTTGTTCATACTGTTTGTGTGTCTTTCCTTCTAACACTGAGGATTCATAACATCACTGTTTTTTACACTTTAGGCTTATAGTGCCCCCTGCAATGTTCCAATACCTCTCCTGCCTAGCTGATGTTCCAAGCTGGGAGTTTCCACAACTAAAAATGGCAAGGATGGGTCACAAGATGGAGGCAGCTGGTTTCAGCAATGGAGTGTCAGGTTGGGGTAGTGGGGGGTGGGATGGGGGTGGGGGTGGGAGACCCGGTGGTGGTGTTTGGCAATGTGTTCAAAGATGCAGCTCAGACCCAGTGTGGGCTCTGCGGGCATCCGTGGGGCTGTCCTGGGTCTGCCTCTCCACTGAATTTTTAATTTGGTTTTGTGAGTCTTTCATTTCCAGAATATTTGTTTGGTTCTCTTTGAGAATCCTTATCACTTTATTGAAGTGATTTCTTCTTTTCTGAAGAAAACTCTAATTGAATCTTTGTTTGGAGTTCATTAGGGTTTGAGACATTTTGAAGATGTTCCTCAACCTTTAGTTTTTGATCCCTCCTGCTGAAATGCAGGAGCCACTTCCCTAGTTGCTATGAACCTCTCATCAGCCAGTACTGGTTTGTCAGCCCAAGGTCCTAGAGCTGGCTACTGGGAAAGGTGTAGCATTGTGTCTGCTTTTTTTTTCCTATTGTGTGGTAGAGATCAGGATGTAAGGCTCTGAGTTATTGATGTGGTTCTCCATGTCCCAGCTCCCTTCTACAGAATTCTTTTTAAGGTCATATAGAGCCTGGTTGGCTATCTCTACAAGCACCAGTTCTGTAGTGTGGGCTCTCTGTGGGTGATCTGTGGGGCAGAGGTATTTCTCCTGACACAGCTCACTGTCCTTCCTCCTGAGTAGGATGAGTTGGTTCTATCTTCCACTGTCCCAGGTTGGGTATAGTGGGTGCTATTTTCCTTTGCTGACTGTGACTGAGGCAGTACACAACCAGTTTCCCAGCAATGTCTAGAGATTCACCTGTTGTGGTCACAGGTCAGGCTATGTGCTGTGGCTATTCACTCTCTTGGACCTACACAACTCTGTTTTGACTGACTTCCCAGTGATTCTGATTTTGGTCCAAACATATTCTTTTTAAGCTTCCTTAGACTCACACATTTTCTAGGCTTGGCTTTCTACTGATTGTAGCAATGATGTATGGACAGTCCTTCTATGTTGCTGAATGCCCAGGCCTGAACTGTAGCCATAACCAGGGGGACAGACCTTCTAGATTTCTTAGGACCTCAGGCAATTTCCCATTATTTTTTCCCCCAACTTCAGTAGTCACCAAAGGCATCAGTCCTAAGGGTTTCCCTTACTTCTGAGGCCAAAACTGCCTTCATGCTTGGATTAGAGCTCTTATTTCCTGCCTTGTGGGCTACCCCTGTGTCTCTGCCCTGGCTCCCACAGGCATTGCTGGGGTACCTGAAGCATTCCTTCCCTCTGGAGTTCTGGGGACACTGTATGGGGCATTCCTTCCCTGTCTAGGTTTTTGTGGGGGAAGTACGGAGGGCCTCCTCCCTGTTTGGGTTCCCAGAACCCTTCGAGGGATGCAACTTTCCTGCCTGGTTTCCATTCATTGCCCAGGGTTTTGCAGAGACTGTATGGAGAACTCCTCCCAGACAGTTTCCTTGGGATCCTAAGTGGGATCCTCATTCCCTGTCCAGATTCTGTGAAGAAACCCTTTCTTGCCTAGGTTCTCACAAATGATTTATAGGGTGACTGGTCAGTTGTGTGTTCCACAACATGGCTTTCTGTTCTCAAATTGGTATTAAAGTGTTAAAATCTGGATTGAGGACAGTATTGATGCTTCTAATGCGATTAAATATGGTCTGTTCCCCTGCCCCCAAATGTTGATAAGGGGGAGAGATTTGAGTTCTTTCCTGCTCCATCTTTCTCTCTTTCCCTCTCTTTTGTCCCTCCCCTGCTCCCATAGGTGCAGGTTCAGGGTTAGGGAAGTCTCGCTCTTGGTTTCTATGCTGATAATCCATCTTTTAGTCTCTCCAGATGTCAGTCTTTGTAATATTGGATATTAGAGCATTTATTTTGTCACCCAACTCTTAGATTTGTTTAGAACCATTAAATAAGAGATAAAACACACATGAAAGCTCACTTCAATTTTCTAGCGGTTAAATATCCTTCATGTCCCTGGAGACCCAGAACAATTGAAGCAGCTCAGTAAATCCTCAGTCCCTTTCAGATAGAAAACCATGTTGACCATGATTGTTTTAGGGAGGATCTGTCAAATTTCCAAGCAACACCAAATTCCTTGCATTGACAGTTAAGTTGTGCTAAGGAGATCAACAGAGACAGTTCTGAAAGAAATGGTAATTTTGGAATTTGAAAATGTTTGTATAAATTATATTTTTCAATATGTATAATATTACAATAGATATATTAATCTGCCATACAGACAAATTAGAGTAAATAATGGATGGATAGGTGTTTAGTTTAATATTTTAAAGAAATGCTTTACATCTTTGAAAGTTAGATTAGCATTTGCAAAAGACAAAACTGTAGATGTTTGAATGGGATATGAAATGCTAAGACAGTGCTAGTACATATTTATTGACTATTTAGCATAAATCTA